TTTCTCAATGAACAGGGGAGAATAAATCCAAAGGTAGCATACGCATTTATAAATGCGGTAAAGGATATTGATTACCTAGGAATTAAAAGAACCGCTAAAATATGCTCCCTTAGTTCAGCGAATTATGAACCTTTATTATCTAAATTGTCTGAAGAGACAGCTAGATGGATGACACTGCCCCTGTCTTTAATGGGAAGAATAAATGTAATCAAGATGACCATACTTCCGAAATTTGTATATGTTTTTCAGTCGTTACCACTTACTCCTCCTCCTGCATTTTTCCAGAAAGTAAGAAAGCTTCTTTCTAATTTTATTTGGAGTAACAGGAAGCCAAGACTTAGACTCTCCCTTCTATATTTGCCTTATGAAAGGGGTGGGCTACAACTTCCAAACTTGTTATGGTATTATTGGGCTGCTCAATGTTCTGGTTTGCTAAAGATGCCGTTGTGCCTTGGGTACAGGTTGAAATGTTGACTGCGAAAGGATTGACACTTGACAGCTTTTTATATTCAGGACCTCTTAAAGAACTAAAAAAAAGGAAAGACAATCCGTTTGTAAAAAATACTATTATGATCTGGCATGAATGTCATAAATATCTTGGTGACTCCCCATCGCTGTCTTGCTTTTCTCCTATCTGGGGTAATGATCATTTCAGCCCAGCCAAAAATGACATGGGGTTTAAACTATGGTTGAATAAGGGCATTGGGAGGGTGATGGATTTGTATGAAGACAATATTCTAATGTCATTTGACAAGCTTGTAGTGAAGTTCCATTTACCTCGAAAACATTTTTTTTTTAATCTGCAAATTAGAAGTTTTATTTTTTCACACCTGAAGAATTCTGCTCAACTTCCCCCAATGTCCTTATTGGAAACATTCTCCACACAAGATTGTCTATCTAAAGGGCGGATTACCCAATTATATAAGATGCTAATAGAGAATCATAAAGAAAGTGCTGAAAATAAAAGACAAGCGTGAATATATGATTTGAATAAAGATATTTCACTGGAGGATTGGGGTACAGTGTGCTTAAAGGCACAAACGCAAACCTTGAATACTCGGTTGAGACTCTTACAGTATAATTGGATAATGAGAAGCTATATTACCCCTGTAAGATTAAATAAATTTAACCCGAATATCCCTGACCTATGTTTTAAATGTAATAAAATACAAGGTAAATTTTTTCATACTGTGTGGGAATGTGAAGAAGAGCAAAAGTTTTGGGATGGGGTGATTCAGTATGTTTCTCAGTTTACCTCTTCTCAGATTACTTTATGCCCTGTATTGTGTGTATTAAGTATTTATGGAGACAATTGTTCTTTATCTAGTAAGGAAAGAAAATTAGTGGACTTATGTCTACTACAAGCCAGACATTCTATTGCCCTATGTTGGAAGAATGCTAATTGCCCTTCCCTTGTACTATGGTTAAAAAATTTAATTTCTAGCTTGGCTCTTGAGAAACTTACATATGTAATAAGGAAAAAATCCTCGGAATTCAATGATCTCTGGAAGACATTTTTGAACATTGTTAAAGAAGGAGATATTGATGAGGCACTAGATGTGTGAAGATTTGTAATATAATTATAACAACAATCAGGATTGTATTTATTTATTTTACTTTATTTATTTTGCCTGCCAAGGCTTTGTGGTTGTGGGGATGGGGAAGAAGGTTTGATCATAAGTGTTCCTTGTTTACTTGTAAATGTTTTGAAAAAGTTAATAAAGATATGTTAAAAAAAAAAGTACATATACATACATCATATATGTCATGATAAATGTTAGGTTGCAACCTCACTCAAACCACTCAAACTACAAAATTCTTGAGATTCAATTTAGAGCCCGATCAGACCTCACACCAAGAATTCTTCTGCATCCAGCCTATCTGCTGAAAAACGTTTTCACACACTCCTCTGAAACCTTAAAATCTGGTCGTCAACTGCAAATCTGCAAAAGACAGCTGTTATATCTACTGTTGGAATGAAAGGACCCCCTCACATACTCTATTATCCCATTTCTCTGTGGAATTCATGTTAATGGCACCCACAATGAGCCACAATGAGCTTTGTTAAATGTTTGCATTGTTAGATGGCCCAATGTGTATTATAGTTCAATGAAATTTAGATTCTCACTACAAGTTCATAGTTCGGCTGCAAGCAACTATACAAAGATCTGATCTCTCTTACCTCTCATGTGAGAGCTGCTTCAAGACACCCTGGAGTAATCTTTGTTTTTAAAGAGTTTTCATGCTAAACAGTTAAAGTCATTCCAGTCATTTCCTTGTGATGCTAAAAATGTGATAATAAGCTTTTATTTTCTCAAGCTCTGTTTACTCAATACAGATGAATATATTTTTGCTGTTCGTTCCCTGCTTCCCACTACTATAAACTAGTGCTGTCAAACGATTAATCGCAATTAATTGCATCCAAAATAAAAGTTTTGATTACATAATATATGTGTGTGTGTACTGTGTATATTTATTATGTATACACACACGTGCATGCATATATTTCAGAAAAGTGTTATGTTTATATATTAAAAATATTTATATATAATATAAATTATATGAATATAAATATATACATGTAGATACATGTAACTATTTTCAAAATATATACTGTATGTGTGTGTATTTATATATACTGTATATACACAGTACACACATTTATTATGTAAACAAAAACTTATTTTGGATGTGATTAATCACGATTAATCGTTTGACAGCACTACTATAATCTAAAGTGATTTTTATTCCTTTTTTGTTTTGATAAGTGTTATTGCATTATTGTGTTTCATTCAGTCGTTTAGGAAGTTATAATCGACTGTTTTGATTTACTGTTGCTTTGAGTGTAATTCATGACAAGTGCGATGTGATTAAAAACATCTGATTATTAATGCTCGCCTGACTGGTGTGTTGACATCTTTCAGAGAACGCACTTCACAGATGATCTCGGCTGAAAATAGCAGATAGCAGAATTAAATGAGTACTTATGAAATCAGGCGCAGTGTTATGCATGCATAAGCGTGATGGCAAATTCTGTAAATTATGGACTGTTTGAATGCATGTTCCTTTTTGTAGATACCTGCCACCTTGCTTTTAAATTAGAGGCTACATGTTGTCTTCTCTCAATGAAATGTGGCAGACAGTGTGGGTGGGAGCATGGGTGACATGGATGGAGTTAAATAGCAATGGCCTGGCTCAGCTGTACCATTTGTTTGCATACTATACATAAAATCACACTCATTGGCATAAATCTCCATGTTTAACTTAATATGGTAATTCAGGCTGAGATCATTGGAGAGCTGTTGCTTGGAAAGGAGCCTCTTTGTAGGAGAGATAAGGACCCTGTTTTATAGCTTCATAGAACAGTTATTATCTATCTTCAGTCACATTCATCTCAGATCATAATCGATTAAAGGACAATAAAGTCTAACACTGTTAATGTTTCTGTATTAAATCAATATCAAAATCCATAATATGTTAGCTGAGTAACTGCAAGGAAGTGTCTACACTTAAGCTGCATGATCTTAAAAAAACTGACATTGCGAAACAGAAAATTTTACTTGATGACTTGAATAACTATATTTGGAAAGAATATATTATTCTGGGGTGATTTATTTGGAGAGCGCATCTGCATTAAATAATACAATTAATAATTACATTTTTATTCTGAGGATAATTTTTGAGTGTGAAATCCTTGGTGGGTTAGAGAAAATCAGGGGAAAAAGAAAGAAAGGGAAATGGAAGAGAAAGGGAAAAGGAAAATCTGGGTGTCATACCTGAGTTTACTTTTTTTAACTCAGTAACCATAAAGTGAACAGACTTAAAAAAAAAAAGAAATATTTTTCTACTTGAGCTTTGACCACTTCGATATCAATATAAAATAGTAATTATTATTTAGATTTTATTGTGATTATTATTAAATAAAAATATTAAACAACATAAGAAATACTATACATTTACTGTATAATTACACAAACAATTATCAATATTTAATAAATATGTACTAAATATTTAAGTACAATTTATGCTTAGGGGTGGGTGATATACCGGTAGACACGATTAACTGGTAAAAATTTGTCAACCGTTTTCGACTATCCTCTCTATTGCAGTTACATGCTCACGTGACGTTGCTGTGCTATGTGGTCACAAAAAAAATGATTGTTTACATGCATTTTTAAACATTGCGGTTTAAAAATAAGTGATTTCGTCGGTGCCGATAGCCTTGTGAACAGAGCACCAACATACAGCGCCATTGCAATACGGGTGTCTCGAGTTCAAATCCCAAATTGCAATACTTAAAAAAAAAAATGGTGCAGCTGCAGCACATCAATTTCTGCATTTCACTATTAACAAATGGCAAGTAACATGATTGGTAGTAAATTTCACGATTCATTACAAAGAAACAGCAAGTAACACACTGAATTAAAATGACAAAGCAGAAAGACTGAAATAATATTTCCTTGTAAAACATACTACAATAATTGTAAATATTTTTTTTGTGTGACCTGCAGGCACATTCTTTACCACACAAGTATACGGTGCATAATAAGCATTACAATCCCAGCACCAAGCAGACCCCTACAGTGCCAATATAAATGCTTCATACTTTATTAAAACCAATATGCATACATATACACAGCATGTAGTCAACAACAAGTGGCATGCACACAGTGGTTTGGTGCACGCTCATTTGCAGTGCAATCATGTAGTCGCAATCAGCATGCAGGAACACAGATATAGAATAACTTTCAAAATTATAAGGGGATTAGTTTATTACCTGCAATTAAAAATAATTAGCTTGTTAGACATATGATGGAAATATGAGATGTAAGAGTGATTAATGCTTAGATATGCATTGTGTAGATATATGATGGTCTTAAACCGGGAAAAAAGTCAAGAGATAAGAATTCCATCTTATGCCTAATAAGCCTGACAGTGGTAAATAAAACCTTTCATTTTAAAGGACAACAGAAATATCAAAGCGATCTCATGGGAAAATGTAACTATTTTGCAAATTGGCGATTTCATATAAATTTGTATAAAGTAAATCACATGAAAACTGATTATTTTCTTTAGGAAAAAAAAGCTAAGAATGAAGGTCCATCCCTAAAACATAACCACCACTAGGGTGTAAACAGATTGTACAAAAAAGTATGAATGCAATCATATGAATTGGCCATCAATTCGCCAAAACATAAAGCAGCCACGAATTGCAATGAAATTGTTTTAGAAATAGAGGAAATTTTTTAAATCAAATCAGGACAGAACAGGGCAGCGTTGTCATTGAAAAACATATTTGAAAATACACAACTGCAGATCATCATCATCTGCACAAAATTGAAATGTTTTCTTAAAGTCCCCATGAAATCAAAATTAAAGTTTTTTGGATGTTAGTATCAATATGTTAGTCTTAAGGTTATCTATAAGGCAGCATGCTCCAAAACAGTGACAAAATTTGCATTTAGAAGATATAAGCATTCAAAGCTTGCAGTTAGTCACTTCTGCCAAAACGGCTCAACAATTTTTGTTTGACGTCATATCGTACTTCAGCTTCTCATCAAACTTTCTGTCCAATCAAATGCTCTCTAGAATCCGAAGTGCCCGCCCCCTACACTATAAAATAGACGCTGAAGCCGCGGCTGAAATCGGTCCACAGAATTAGTATTTTCTGTACAGTGAATGGCACATAGTGCACTATATAGGGGACGGGCAACGATTCAAACAGTGTAAATATGCTTTCCATTGAGGAAAAAAAGAAGTCTGGTTTCGCACTGTGGCTGGCATATCCTGTCAAATCCGGCTTTACAGAGCTCAACGGCTCTGAACGGCTCTAGTCCAAGCTGTGATATAAACTAACGCTATTGGCTATTTTAAAAAGGGGCGGGGCTGCTTGATATGTCCCGCCCTGTCCTCCTGTTTCAGTTAAAATGACGTCAACACATAGAGTAACGCTGCGTGTTTCTAAGCATTTCAGGGGACCTTTAAGGTGCATCCCAATGTGCCTACTTGTGAACTATTCTATGCCATTTTTAGGTGTTGACACTGAAAATTCCAAAAAGAAAAAGCGCATTTTAAATACATGGATGATACACCTAATTTACCAAAAAAAGTAGAATGTTAGACACTTTTCCTTACGTACGTACATTTCCTTAGGAGGTGGAGGGGCTATCAGACTCTGATGCTCAATGACAAAATATGTACTCAAATAATCTTTATTTACAACTCAAAAGATAATTTTTTAACATGCAAGCACATTCTTGACCAGATGAGTGTATGCTCATCATAGAGAGGAGATGCATGGGCCTTTAAAATAGTGCAAAATTCTAAATTATTGTCCTAAAAAAATTAAAACTTTTAAATCAAATGAAAGCACATAACCTACACAGAGTATAGTTGCTAACTGCTGTTCAAAAATGAACATATTTTAGACTATTTTAAACTGACAGTAAACCCGTTAGTGTGATATGTGTTGTATGATAATATGGCTTTTATTTTAGAACACCAGCTTAATTTACTTAAACTTGTTCATTTTGTACTTCCAAGCACTTTACAAGTAACTATATAATATGCATAATAAATAATCTGACTTTGTCTAAACATGCATCTATTGGAGCAAATTATTCTGAGCACAGAGAGTACTGGTACAGATCATAAAATAACCTTTTTTCTTAGTTTTAAGAACATTTCAAAGACTAAAAAACATTGTTTTCCATTATAAAAAACCTTTTGTGCAATGGAAAGATTCCATGGGTGTTAAAGAATCTTTATTTTTAAGATTGTATGACTACATGCACCGATTTCTCTGCATGGTTAGGTAACCGTATGATGTGGAGACTCACAATATACAATCACATATCCAGTATTCGATTTCTCAGCACCACGATAAAGAGAAAAACAGAACTATGTCAAACAGCCCAGATCGATACAGGATGGCATGATTCATCAACAATGCAACAAAAACTTGCTAGTATGTCGACCTGAAATCTATGTATGAATGCAGGTACTGTATATTCCTTTAAATTAAAGGTCATATATAGGCATATATAAGGATTTCTCATTCCCACAGTTAGGATTTTCTCTTCACATTACTATGGGAATACATTAATATGCATACATCAATATATGACAACTACACCTAGACCTTCACCTTGCACAATCAAACTACAAATCTAGCACTCAGCCTGACATATTTCCTTTGTTGAATATCAAGAACTTAACTAGCAAAGCAACCTATTTTTAAATTGCTTTGCTTTGTGAGATGTCCCCAGACTGGTGAACCTTTTGCACAGTGCCACGTGCAGCGCATGTCTCAACAATCCTACCTCTCTGAGAGCACACAACTGCGCAACTGTGTCAGCTTCACTCCCGTCACCATACACCATGTGACACCAAAAAAAAAAGGAAAGAAAAGGAAAAGCAGAAATAACGTAAGGAAGCGATCCTCCAAATCAGCCAAATCAGAGGAAGCAAAACAATACTGATGTTTTATGAAAATACCCAGGTGAAGCGCTCAAGCGTTCAGAGCACTTTGCAGGAGTTGGGCTGCATTGGTGTGGTTGTGGCCTAGTTTTGTGAAGTGGGCTATTAAGTCATTCCATTCAGCTTTTCCACGACTGGCTTTTATTCAATTCGCAACTCTCGCCGAGCAACATTCTTCAAACTCAGAGCTGACTGGACACAAATATGGGAGCTGAAAACCAAAGCAGCTGTATGATAGCATTTGGAAATGCCACATCTGTAAGTAACAACAGCACCGTGTGATTTCATAATGGGGTCTTTAAGGCTGATCACAATGTACCTCGTCTGTGCAATCACTGCTATATATCAGACCACAGCTTTGATGGCCTACTTCCAATATAGCAATTCCACATCCTTTACTGTTTGAACAGCATCCAAACACAATCCTCAGGGTCAAAGACTTAGAGTAAATGGAATATCACTCTATTGAACACGCTGATCAGAACTCATTCAGACTTCTGGAGACCCTGATGGGCTGACACTGTGAAACCCAATAGGTTTCCACAATCCCGTTCATTAGCTCTGTCACTGATGTAAGCTTGGGTAAATGAATATACTGACCTGCAAAGAGAATACAATTCCATGGGTGAGCCAATAACCTCATGCACCGTAAGATGCCACCGGGGAAATATTTGCAACTACTTTTCATACAAGGTGATCAATCGCCCTCTAATAGCCTTCAGTTCTCTATGAGGTTTATTCTCAATTACATTAATAATGGATTTGAACGGAACGAGTCAATGAACGTCTACTATTCTCATGAACTCGTTAGTCATTCGAGTTTGATTAAATCCAGAAATCTTTTTCATTTTGTACCAAGTACAAATACAACACTACAAGTGCCTTCTCTTGTTGCAAGATAGATAAGAAGCAATTTTATACCAGATACTCCACGGTTATGAGCTTTACAGTGAAAACAGGATGATAAATGAGCTCTCCAGAACATACAATGTGTGTGTAGGCCTTAACGTGTCAACCATTGCAAACTCAAGAACATGCTTGAAGTGTGTCATTCAAGCACGCTGCTCTAAACAGAAGGACAAGCAGTAATCACCCGACCTCGACTCTTCAAATCACAAGTGTCATTGAAAATAAAGCGCTGCTCAAACTCACCTCCAGATTTGTCCGAGCTGTAAGATGTGCATGACGGACTGCAACAGCCAGATACAGAGGGAACAGGACGATGAGCGTGTCTTACTAGTCCGGGCTGCAGTAGCGCTGTTGCTGCTGTTGCTTGTGGTGTTGCTCTTGCTCGCCGTGGACGCCTGTCTTTGAGGCGTAGACGGGTGGGCTCCAACGTCTCCGTGCGAAGCGGAGCAGCTGAGCAGCTTCCCGTCCATGTGCGAGCAGCTCGCCGCGCCGCCACCGCCGGAGCTCTCCTCGGTGCTGAAATCATGGACGAACCAGCGGAAACTGAAGACCTGCACGGAGAACGAGCCGAGCACCACAAAAAACAGCGTAAGCCCGAACCACCAGTAGTCGCGGCGGAGGTAATAGTCGACCGAAAGCCAAATATCAGTGCCCACATCCGCGAAATACACCGCCACTGCGGCGAGGATCCACAGACAGTCCCAGACCGTGTATTTCTGCTGCTCCCTGCCGAGGCGGAGACATGTCGAATTTGAGCCACAGCACCGCGACTCCCCATTGACAAAGTCCGCATCTCCGGTTCCAGAATCCGGCTGCGATCCCGGAGCGAGCCCTTGAACCGAACCCGAGTGATCCGAATTCTGCAAAGGCGTAAATGCTACATCGCTCTTCTTCATCTTTAGCACCCCGTCGGATTTCGCGGCCATTGTAGCAGCTTTGTCTTTTCACCGTTTTCGCGTCTTCTCCTCGGCTTCTCTATTCCAGGCGAAGAGACACTGGGCTGGGCGACCTCCTCTTCCGCCAGCTACAGCGCCGCCTGCTCATAACAAAGCAACACTTCCTTTCGGTAGCGGGTACGAACCATATGCTCTCCCGTGGCTCCTGCTTAAAACTATGACATCATTGCTTTGCAACTCTTCTTCAGGAGCACATCGTGGTGTTCAATATCCAGCTATTGCAGCACAGCCTTCTGCTAACTCCACATTCGCGCATGAAAATAATGTCTACGGCAGCGGTTCATTAAAGAGGCGACCGCTCGGTTGCTATGGCATTTGTAAACGTGCAGTTTTGAATTCCACCCTAAACTGAACACGCTCTCCACCGGACGCGAGCGGGGCATCAAAAGTAAATAGGGAAGCGTCCGTTGCGGCGGTTTTTCACGCGATGCACAGCTACCGCAGAAACTTTATGATGCTGAAATAAAATAATTTTATTTACAAATACCATATCTGCGTCAGCTTTATTCGTTACATTTTAATAACTTCTGACTGTTAGAACAAGCCAGCTCGTGCAGTTTCTGGTCAAATTTAAATAGCTTTTTCTTTAGTAATCATATATATATATATATATATATATATAATCAGTTATTATATAATTAATACATTTTGTATACCAATGGGTTTTCCTTAAAGTTGGATAGTTATTCATCCTTTTTGCTGTTACTGAAGTCATCGAGCTCACAGCTGATTGGTCCGTGTTAGTAAACGTAAGATGACGTGCAGCTTCCAGATTTCCACTGAAGACAGACTGAAGCCGTTGCGGTGCGTGATTGGTAACCTACGTTTGTAACATATAGCCTGCAACGCTTGCAAAAAGACATGAATATAGTTTGTTTTGACGCATTTACATCTAAACAAGAACAATGAACATGTTTTACTTAAGCTGAAACGAATAACACGCTTCCATGTTTGGTATTTTCAATAGAAGTACCCGAATATAAGCTTTATTTAACCTTTAAAAAGCTTAAATTGACCTATAATAAAACCGTTATCTTCCAAACGCGTCCTCGTCTCGTATAATAACTAAAGGTTCAGCACCACGGAAAGCTTCTGCTATCAGTTCATTAATGTGGCTCATTGTGCACTATGCAGAAGGTCTGCCATAAACAACAAGCCGCGTCAGAGCTCCACATATCACCAAGGACGCTCCAGTGCCACCGGACGTATTGTGCTGGGTGGGCTAACTGGCGTCATTATTGAATTTATTGGCACCCTTGAGTACGGCGCTGTATTGTCGACACGCCCTCTGCTTGCAGGTTACACATAAAGCGAGTCGCTCTCTTTGAAAAACAGCCACTATGGCACACACACACACACTTAATGGTTTTAAGATATTGTATTGATTCAAGTCTAACGGTGAGAAAATTAGCATATTACATCAGCTGCTGCTGCCAGGTAAGGATCATATGCATTAATGAGGCACATCGCCCACAAAAATACGTTATAAAAGATAAATCAGCAAGGCACTGACGTACGCAGCTCTAACACTTTGACAGCCCTGAGCTTATTACGCCTCAGGTTTTAAACTTCACATGCGGTTGGGATTGAAACCGTCAAATGGCGTCAAACCGTCAACATTAAGTGGGCTTGCCGTGAATTGACTTCAATAATAGACTTGAGAGATGCAACAGAGATGAAATCTCGCTAATTAATTACAGCACGGACGGTGCAGCATTTAAGATACCACGTTCTGTATTTGTGTGTGTGTGTGTGTGTGTGTGTGTGTATTATACACATACATAAATACACAACGTGGTATCTTAAATGCTGCACCATCATTATATCACCAATTTCTTTTTCTGTAACCATTTACAAAGTCAGCAAGTGTATGATCAGATGGCCGGGGAGGTATACTATATACTTGTATTCCATAGCTTGCAAGCTAGTAGTGTTGGGATTGGACATTGAAACAGATGGCGTCAAACCGTCAACATTAAGTGGGCTTGCCGTGAATTGACTTCAATAATAGACTTGAGAGATGCTACAGAGATGAAATCTCGCTAATTAATTACAGCACGGACGGTGCAGCATTTAAGATACCACGTTCTGTATTTGTGTGTGTGTGTGTGTATTATACACATACATAAATACACAACGTGGTATCTTAAATGCTGCACCATCATTATATCACCCAATTTTTTTTCTGTAACCATTTACAAAGTCAGCAAGTGTATGATCAGATGGCTTGAGGTATACTATATACTTGTATTCCATAGCTTGCAAGCTAGTAGTAGCTTTCCATGGTCAAGGACCTCCCCATAGAGGCCATCTGACTGAAATGTTTGTTTTGTTCAGTGTCATGTTTAGGGCTTTACATTTTCAAAATGAAAAGTCAATGTCCCTACAATAACAGACCAGCGTGCAACCAATAAATATTTCATTCAATAACATCGTCTTCAGTCGTCAAGAGTCTATGAGCTTAATATAATTTTGAAAATCCAGCAGTTATTTGATTCTGATAAGAAATCATTGCCTAGTTGTATACAGAGTGGCTTTCTTCAATAAGGGAGATATACATACAGTACAGACACAATACAGGTGAGCGAGTCAAACCTTAATTAGGAGGCTAGACAGAAACCAACAAGGTGAGAGCGAAAGAGAGATATGAATCGGAATATAATTATCACCAGCTCTGGGTTCAGCTTAAACACAGTCAGGCTCTTCAATGGCTCCGCCACACCTTGAGCTCTGCCTGTATGGCACCTGGACAAGCTTCAGAAAATGATGCCATCTGTCATCATCAGACATGGCAGGGATAAGCAGCCTGTCGTGACTTGTGGGCAATCTTTTAGCAGGTCCATTTCAGGCCCCACTGACACACAGACAGCAATCAGATCACCTACACCTCAGGTGTGGGTTTGAGCAGCTGGTTCAAGCTTAGGCTGGTCCTTCTTTTCTTCTGAATGAATATCAGAGGCTGTCTACGTTAGCTATTAAGAAGCGTTTGCTGCTCATTGGAGACCGGCCTCCCTGTGCTACTACCTCAATATAATTACAGCTGTCTTCTCTTATTGATCTGAACAGGCTCTTTGTGAAAAGACTGTACCCAGCTCCACAGCCCTTCATGCACTCGCGCCAGCCGTTTAAAGATTCAATCTTAATGACATCAGCAATCAGACAGTCAGACAGCCATCACACAATTCCAAGCTATTGTTCCGGCCCATAAATTAAATGTGTGTGCATTTAGATTCCAGTCAGCATCCTCCATAAAAATGGAAGTCTCAGTACAGGATTATTTTATTAATTAGGTGTGCATTTAGCGTTTATTCCTCTTTGAATGTCAGATGTGTGACATTCAGAGCAAACGTTATCCAGCATCCTAGGCTGTCATTACACAGCACTAAAAAAATCATGCCAGAGAAGCTCAGCTGCATGAATGTGCTGTGGCACTCCTTATTCCATACATCAGCATTATCAGACAGACTTCACTTCCATCCACGCTCGCTCGCTCTCCCCTTCAGAGCTCTGACGGACACACAAAACCATTATGGCACGTATAAACCTCTAGTTCGAGATCTTTTCGGTCATGACACGTATAACAAAAAGAAGAGAGATCATTGCAACAAGCCGAGTGGAAACATAAAAGGCTGTTCTCTGAGGCATGTGATGCTCTGCTGAAAATAACATCACTTGGATCTTATTGTTATTCACTATTCAGCAAAAACGGAAAGGTTAAATGGGTTAAAGGCATTGAATAATTAGCTGTAGGCAAACATGAAAGCGCAGTTGCCATTTCAGTGACTATTCCAGGTTAACCTGCAGCCTATAGATTCACAACAGCGTTTCACACAGAATAAATTCTGTGTTTCAACGTTCTGTAGATGCTTCAACTGTGACATGAATGACAGCCTGTAGTTGCTCAGCAACACACCATAATTTCTCAGGGTTTGTGCATGAGCTTCTAGTGAGACAGCTACCCATTGTGTCAGACCCTGGAAGAGATTCTTATACAGTGAGTTGTCAAGCAGAAACTGGGCCACTGGCCTCTGCATGCTTCATAGACAGGCGAGTTAAAATACCCCCAGTCACTGTAAAGCACAGGATGACACATTAGGGCTTGTTCAGCCAGCCAAATATGCCCTGCCATGATAATCTTTACACAACTGAGCTAAAAAGCTCTACTGTGAACAAAAGAAGCAGCACATCTGATACAAATCAAACGGCCAATCATTGAGCTGTACCAGTATCATAGGATTAATGACTCCACATTCAGAACATGAAAAGGATTTAAAGGGACTGTTCAACAATAAAGTCTGCCATTATGTACTTGTATACACTTACTGTTCAAATGTTTGGAATTAGTAAGAGTATTGACCAGTCATTTCTCACCAATCTGCTTGTTTATTTGATCAAAAGTTAGTAAAACTATTATATTTGTAACAGGGCTGACGAGACATGAGACGTGCGGATCCATGTGCAAGCTTTATTTAAAGCAGAGAGGTCAGAAACACAGGCAGGGTCGAACAATGGCAAACAGGTATATGGCGGGCAAAACACAAGAATAATCCTAGGGCTAGCGAAGGTCAACGAACGGCGAACAGAATCAAAAGGGCGAGACTAAAGGGATGAATCCAGGAAAACAGGCAAAGATCAGAAAACGAGAAATCAGACAAGGCAAGGCAAGACTAGGCTAGGCTAGGCTAGGAAGTTAATGAGGGCTCTGTAGAGTAGCTATCACTGCTGGCGATACGCACATACAATACTCGGCAGTTAGAAAGGAGTGAGAATGAGTGTTAAATAGTGAGTGAGTGATATGAAACAGCTGTGTGCAATCAGTGCTGTGTGCAATCAGTGTAATGAATGATGGGATATGTAGTCCGGGGTGAGATGCAACAGACTAGTGCGAGAGTCAATGAAGTGAAAAGGGTGACCTCTGATGGCTAGCAGACGGAAGTTCATGGGCCGGATACGTAACAGAGCCAGGGCGGAGCCAGCAGTACAGGTGGAGCAGTTACAATTCCGGAGGGTGGTGGAGTGGAGGCGGAATAGGGGGAGGGATGGAGGGCCAGGTCCACATGGAAGTGGAGAGACCGGGAACTGAGGCAGAACCAGCGGAGCAGAGAGCCAGGGCGGAGCCAGCAGTACAGGTGGAGCAGAGAACCGCCAGAGCCAGACAGCAGACCACCATGGCGGGGCAGAAGACCACCACTGCGGAGCAGAGGACCACCACGGCGGAGCAGAGAACCCCCAGAGCCAGACATTAGACCACCACGGCGGGCAGAGAACCACCACGGCGGAGCAGAGGACTACCAGAGCCAGACAGACCACCACGGCGG